TGTTGAGAATGAATCTTATATTATAGATGATCCAGATGAGAATATTAGAGCGGACGAATCATATATTAGAAATGATCATAACGAGGGAATTTGGATCAATCCATCTGTCCGTGTTGTTAAGAGACAAGTAAACCCCGTTACAACGAAAAAAAGAAAGAGATGTTAAAGGTACTTGTAACATGTTTTTCTTATTTACACATGTCTTATTTATACCATGTTTTTCTTATTTCTTATTTATACCATGTTTTTATTATTTACATATTTCTTATGTATATATTTGTTATTTACATATTTTCATGTCATTCATTTGATACTTTGGTTTTTCTGAATTACAGGTATATATTATGGCCAGCAACGAGGAAACATCACATGATGGAAAACAAACAACAAAAGACGTGGAAGGCGATATTAAAAGAGGCATAACAATTATGAAAAAAATCATCCGTGCGAGAGATAAATGAGTAAAGTATGATGTCCATTGGAATGAAAGAGATCAGTTAGTTGAGCCTAACGGTGCGTTGCTAACAAGTTACATCGGAGCACTTGTACGTTCGCAAGTTCCGATTACTTGCGATAATTGGAGAATTGTTTCATTACAACCGGCTAAAGATAAGATTTGGACCGAGATTCAGGTATAATATTGGAATTGTTTAATTATTGTTGACATTTACGTCTTTAAATTAAATATACTAACATGTTATATGTATGTGTGTTTGTTTGCAGAGATCTTTCAATATTGAAGATCGTAGGAGAAAATATTGTATTCAATTGGCCAGAAAACGCTTGAGGGAATTTAGAGCGTTTTTAACAAACAAGTTTCTAAAAGATTCTGAAGGAAACTTTGTTGACTCGGAGCGTCCGATGAAGTACGCGGATTTGATTTCGGAGGAAAAATGAGAGACGTTTGTTGCAAAGTGAAGATCAAAAGAATTTGAAGTAAGTACAACTTATCATGAACTATGTATAGTATATATACTTCTTCCATGTACAGGAGTTCTGATAAACTTGTTTTTCAGGTTGTTAGTGGCGTAAATCGTCAACGGGCATCAAATCCCGCATATCCATACAGAAAGGGCCGGTTGGGATATGCACGATTAGAACAAAAAATAGTAAGTACATATAAATGCTTTAATATGATATATTTACAAAAAATAGTAAGTATATATAATAGGATACAATGCTTTATTATCCGTCTTAATGCGTAGTTGGAAGAGGAGAAGAGTGATGCGACATCTCTTCCGGACCATGTTATATGGAAGGCTGCCCGTGTGGGACGAGATGGAGTCGTTCAGGAAGAAGTTCAACAAGTCTTTGAACAATGTGTAAGTACAACGTTATCTTTGTCAGTAACTGATCAAAAGTGTGTAATATATTTATATATGTTTTTATCTATATTTCAGGAGACTCTGTCCCAGACCATAACTCCCGCCGAGGACGATGATTGCAGGAGCTTACTGAGTCGGGTGCTGAATATTCCTGAGTATTCTGGGCGTGTGAGGGGTAAGGGATTTGGTGTCACTCCATCCAAACTGTATAAGTAGCCAAAGAAAAAAAATCCAACCAATAAAGAAGTGATGGAGACTTTGGAGGAATTGAAAGCGCAAATCCGTGAATTACAGAAGGATAAGGAGAGATACATGGCGGAAAGACGCGCTCCAGAGGGTAGAGCTACTAGTGACAAAGATAGTACTGGTTGTCCGCAGAAGCTTCCAGAGGTAATTGTATATATTACATTGAAATTAATTTAGCACACTTTACTTAATTGACACATTAACTGATCATTATTTGTTTAGGGCATTTCACTTTGCCGGCTATATTTATCGTCACCTACTCATCGAATGGTTGGCAAAGGAAAGGTGCATAACTTTCTGGGAGACTTACTTCACCACAAACCGCTCCCTTCTGGATTTTTGAAAGTATCTATTGATATTGCATTAGAGGGGAGTGCGTTGTTGCCTATACCAGATGATATTTCAGGCGCAACAGTGGTGGGAGACGCAATAGGAGCGTATGTGGCATGGCCGGCAAATCTGATTTGCATAGATGATGAGGTAGGTTGAACCTTTTAATACTCAAATGTTTTATGATCCATACATGAAAGTTATTCTTACATCTACATTTTCTTATTTACATGATGATCTTAGACTCCTACAAAATCCAAATCAAAAGATGATAGAATTATTGTGCGGGATACCGATTCAGCTGCATCAAAGAAACAGGTACTACTACAGTTACATGACTATCTTGTTATACATTAATTACTGAACTTATATATGACTTTTAGGTTCATGATCAGCAGTCGCAACAAGTCAGCAAGGGTAAGATGCCTGAAACTTCCAAGGTTCCCAGAAAAGCAATTGTTCCTCGATTTAGGATGTGCCTTGAAACATATGTCGGAACATCAGATGTGCCTGAGGGTGGCGTCCGTCAAATACATATGGAGGCAGGTATTTTCGGTTTTGAATATCCCGAAACAATTGCTAAGGAGGATTTTGATCAGGTTTTCAACCATTCTGAATTGGGCGTCGGTGTGATGCATTCATACATCAGGTACATCGATCCATTTTAATTAAATAATTGAACATTTTAAAATTTGTTCGTTTAACTTAATATTCTAATGTTGATTATGTTTTTTTAGGTTCTTGTATGACAAGATATTGGTCCCGAATGAATTGACTTCAGTATTCGCATTCTTATCTGCTAGCTGTGTCAACTCACGTGTAATAGACCAGTCACCATATACAGTCAAAGAGTACACAGTGCAGAGATTTATGCATGCGACTACGGGGAAGTTGTTCTTGTTGCCATATAACACTGGTCATGGGTTAGATTTTATTCTAAATTCATTTATTATAATTGTTCGATTTTTCCCTTTCTATATATATAACATTTCCTTCTAAACTGTTGTCTTATTTTATAGTGGACATTGGTTGTTGATCGCAATTAATCCGACGAAAGAAATAGTTTATTATATAGATTCATTGGATGGCGATACAACAAAATATGAAAATCTGAGGAACTTTGTTGATACGTAAGTGATGAGATATACTGTTGTCTTTAATTATATATCTTTATTTATTATGTGACATTGTTCTAAATATGCGTTTATATTATGTTAGAGTTATACAAATATTCAGAGCACAAAGAGATGCAACGGTGCCAAAAAGTAAGGCTAACAACATCAACTGGATCAGAGTGGAGGTATATTCTCGCATGTTTCTACTTGATAAAACTATTTAAACTATATATCCGGATAAATGTTCGTTTGTTTTTTCCATTTACAGTGTCCTCGGCAGCGCAATGGTATTGACTGTGGATATTTTGTATTGCGCTTTATGAGGGAAATTATTCTTTCTAGTCAACTTGAGATTCCAGTCATGGTATGGATCAATTCATTATATAAGTTATATGATTCATTTTGATAATTATCCGATACTTCATCTGAGTAATTAGTTTTAAACTTAAATCTTATTCGATCTGTTATATTATGTAGTATTTTGATGAATTCAAGTGCGCTACTTACACGAAAGCAAAATTGGAAGAAATTAAAGAGGAATGGTGTCAATTTATTCTTGGGTTGAGAATTGTATAGAGTTATCGGATTGGAAGACTTGTAATTATATGTGAATTGAATGTATTTGTGTTGTTGTAATTCTGAGGATCGAATTTTGTTGTAACATATTTAAACAGGTTTATGTGTATATTAAAATGTTTATGAACAAAGTCATGAGTTACAATGTATCCAAAGTTTTGAATTGTACATATAAGGCCAAAGTTTGAATTGTCTATTTAAGGCCAAAGTTTGAATTGTATTTATAAGGCCAAAGTGTTGAAATAAAGGCCTGAATTATAAGCAGGTTTGTGTAATATAAGCAGGTTGTTGGTAAAATATACAAAACAGGGTGAATATTTTTTTAAACAAAAAATTTAAAATCTGGGACATTAGACAGCGCTTTTACATAAAAGCGCTGCTAAAGGTCACAAATATTATGCTACAAAAGCGCTGCTATAGGTTTGAAAGGGGGGGTCTAAGACAGCGCTTGTAAAAAGCGCTGCTAAAGGGTGGGCTATGGCAGCGCTTTGCAAAAGCGCTGCTAAAGGGGGGGTCTAAGACAGCGCTTTGTGAAAGCGTTGCTAAAGGGGGGATGGTTGGGGGAATTATGCAGCGCTTACAAAAGCGCTGCTAAAGGGCTAAAAAAGTGTTGTTAAAGGTGCTGCTGAAGGGAGCTTTTAGCAGCGCTTTTGCATTGAAAAAAAGCGCTACCTTTACCTTTAGCAGCGCCACTTTTGGCAGTGCTTTAAAGCGCTGCTAAAGGCCAAAAAAAAACGCTGCTAAAGGTCTTTTTTGGCATAGTGAGTGAAAAAATGAAATTTGGTTAAAGGATTCTACACTAATTAAACCTTTTTTTAATTTATACTAATAGATAGCATTAACTTCATACAATCAAAGTAAACATCATATTAATAAGGATGGGAACCGATCAGACTGAATTACTCGTACTTAATAGGGATGAGACATATCAAACTGAATTATTCGGCCTAATGTTTTACCTATTTAAGCTTAGGTCTAACTTAGCCTTTTTTTTAAATAAAAATGTATATATACCAAAAAATAATATATACAAAGCGACCCAAAGGGTCCAGCTAGAATCTATAACCAAACACCAAAAAAGGATAATCACAAAAGTAAGTAAGTGACATGCTCACGTAACTTTGGTGTTAACCACGACCTAAGGGACTATATTGTCTATAATATTCTCCTTTATTTTCGTATGTTGATCTCTATTTTGATGTAGCTTTGCATTCTTATATCTTCATCATTCATACATTGTTTCAGCAAAGGAAGCCTTTACTATTTGAGCTCTTCAACTCTTACTATTGTTAATCCTCATAATCCACCTTAGCTCACTATCCTATCTAGCAGAAACATGAGAAATATTTTTCCACTTGAGGACCTCTATCCATATTTCCATCATTGTGTTACACTCAAAGAACATATGCTACATTGTTTCATCTTTATCACATAACTCACATTTTGCACTACTCAACATACCATGTTTAACTAACCTAGCTTTTGTGGTTAATATGTCCAGGCAAGATAACCACAATATGATAATAGCCCTTGGCCTAGCTTTGTTCTCATACATTAATCTCCTCCATTCTACTTTAGGGGACTGCTTCATTAGGCTTTTGTAGCATTGCCTCAGACTGAAACATTCCTTATGCAACATCACTGCTACAGTTCTGCTAGCCTCTACCACTGTTCTTTGGTTCAGAATCTTCCTCAAAATCCAAGAGCATTTAGAATCAGGGGTCACAGTCATGATGTTCTCACCTTTCACGTAGTACTCATTCACCCATTTTTTCCATAAATTATCACCTTTCTTACAAAGATTCCATAACAGCTTGATAAGACAGGCTTAGTTCCACACTTGTAAAACCTTCACATTGAATCCACATTGGCCCTTAGGCTTACACACTTTACTCCAAGCCACAAGTGCTTCCCTGATACCTTTATTCTTGTCAGTCCATAGAAATTCTCTACACATTTCCTACATCCTTTTAATCACACCTTTAGGGATATGAATATTATGCATCCATAAGTTAACAGTTCCAAAAATGACGTAGTTTATGAGCTAGATTCTTCCTGAGTAGCTGAGCATATTGGCAATCCAATGGTTGATCTTCATCCCTATCTTTTCCATTATGCCCATGCATTTATTATTGGTCAGCTTCTTGCTAGACAATGGGATGCCTAAATATCTGAAGGGCAATATCCCATCACCAAATCTGATTAGATCCTGAATTTTCCTCTTAATCATATCATACATGCCACCATAAAACAGCTTGCACTTGCTTGGATTGACATCCAAGCATGTGGATCTAGAAAAGGAATTGAACATGTCCCTAAGCATCTGCATTGATATAACATCACCTCTGGCAAATAGTAATAGGTCATCAGCAAAACTGATGTCCACAATGTTCAGCTTCTCACACTTTTCATGATAGTTGAAGTTAGGGATATTGCCATACCCAAAATTTTACCCTTAGATCATTAGGTTCATTCTGTATTTCATTTTGTTCCGTATTTCGTTTTAACTAACCGCTAACCGATTTGCTTAGTCTGTTTGTTTTTGCAGAAAAATGACATTGTGTGTGCTTTAATTCATGAAGTGCAAACGTTTCGTCAGTCTGTTGACTATTACAGAGTCAATTTATCCTCAAAGGATCCTCAGGCCATCGCGGTTTCTTGTTTCCCGATTTATACGACAAGTGGTTTGAGAACAGGTGGATTTCTAATGACATAAGCGATGTCAGTTTCTCCTTGATACAACACATCTTTGGTCGAGAACCAGAGTTAGTCGTTAGATGGATTTTGAAATGCTGTCGGATTTATACATCGTATTGATTTGAAGGCGTTAGAATAAATGGATTTGGTTTGGAATCGGTGCAAAATTTATTTCAAATAGGTCATCTGAACAAGTTCAAGCCACATTCACTTTTCTCTAATGGTTACAAGTTAAATTTTAAAGGCGCAGTGGAATTATGGTTTTGCATTCGAATTTATGGTAAATATCAGTCTGGTCTAGTTGCAAGTATCAGTAGATTCGTTTCGGATTATAAAAGTCAGGTCACTCGAGATACAATTTGGATTTAAATGCGGAGGAAAGTTCATTTTTGCCACTAAAATGGAGTTATCTGTTTATCCATTCAAGGCCATATTCACCGATTTTTATTACCGAGTACGGGTTAGTTCTTTTAAGGCTCGGTGGAATTTATAATTTGCATCAGGCATCAGTTAATTCTAAGTTTGTGCAAGTCGGTTAATTGTCGAATTCAGATCATGAAATGTAAAGTTTATTCGAAAGAAAATATGGACTGAATTTAGTCGGAAAATAAGACCTTATTTTATTAAAGATTGAATTTATTTTTCAATTTTCGTACAACTTTTTATTACAACTTGTTCAATATTACAAATTAAAAAGTCCTAAGTCCTAAATTTGTCCTAAAAAATTCTAACTACGGTTCCTTATTTTCGATTCTTCATCATCTCCGAGCTTTCGAACCTGCAAAAGAACCAAACAATATCAGAGAAAATTGTTATCAGTGGGAGTGAGTTAAATTTTATCGAAAAGTGGTTTTTTAGTTGTTGCGATACCCTCAGAAAATTATCATCATCGGGTATGCCGAGAGGGGCAACAAGTGAATGTCGCCACACCCCCCAATTTCGTTTCCCAACCTCGGCCAAAATTCGACAGACTTTTTGTTCAATTTTCCGAGAGGGAGAGAAAAAGTGTTTTTGAGAAAAAGAGTTTTTCGCGGAAAAATGATTTTCTGTTCAGATAAACAAGTCCTAAAAAAAATCCAGCAAGCCAAAACCAATTCAGATATCCAACAATTGCAAAATTCAGATCCAGTTCATATCAAGAATAAACTGAAACCTGAAAATCAGGATATCATCAAACAAATCTTCAAAATCTCAGGTCTAATCATCAAATAATACCAACAAATCCGCAAATCTCTCTATTTCAAAACAGAAATCAAAACAGAAAATTGTAAAAAACGTAACAATACGAATCCAGGCCCAGAACAACAACAACAGTATAAAATCATCACCAGAAATCACAAAAGGGGAGGGATTGGAAAAATGTGGAAGAAGGCGGCGGAAACCCTAAGGTTTCGAACACCAACAAATCACCAAACGTCGGTCATCCTCAACAAGAACAGCACAACAAAATCATCAGAAGGCCATCAATACGAACAGAACAACTCATCATCATCGTTCATCAGTTGTGGCAACAGAACAACAAAATCCCACCGCCTCAATTGTAAACCATCATCAGCCACCAAAACACCAGAAAGTCATCCCGTAAACATCACAGAAGACAGATCCAAACCGCTTCAAACCCCAAAAGGGTGAGCAATTTTTCTTTTAACATAATATTTTGATCTTTTACATATATCATAAGGAGGAAGAAGAAGAAAATGGTGTCATAGTAAGACAACAAGCAAAGGGATGAAGACATGGAAAGAAGAACAACAATGTTCAGTAACAACCCACACATGGGGAATCTGCCGCGACATGGAGAAAAAGGGTTAAAAACCCTAAAAAATTTCTGACCCCCTTTTAAATGACCGTCCGAGTCGGGTCTGGGGTCGGTGACCCGGCCCGACCCACTTTTTTTTTATTATTTTATTTTTGTTTTCTAATTTCTATTTAGTTTTTATTTAAAACAGTTTTGTTTTTAACAAGATTTGACTAAAAAAACAATAATAAAAGACCCTCTTTTAAAAATTAAACTAAACCATTCTTTAAATTAATTGCAAACCTTTTCTTAAAAATAATAAAACCTGTTTTAATTAAAAATAACATTTTTTAAACATAAAATTCTAATTTTTTAAACAAATATAACCTTTTTCAAACCAAAATTTCAACACTTTCAGGATCAAATTTCTAATTCTTTTTTTTATTCAAAATTCTAACTCTTTTAATTCAAGACTCTTAATCTTTTTTTAATTTTCAATTTCTTTACCTTTCAAATTTAATCTCTAACACTTAAAGTTAAAACCCTAATTTTTCTCTGAAATTTCTAACACTTTTATTCTGACATTCATCTAATTTCTTTGTTATCATTCTCAATTTCTACCTTTTGTTCCTAATGTCATGAACCAGTGTACTAACATTTCTGTCTTTTGTATCTTTTTTTTATTATTGTACATTATTTAACAGTGTTCTTATCCTATCATTTACACTTGTATATTATTTCAACATCGTCATAAGTTATTAACTTTTTCATTATATTATTTCTCCGTTAATTCCCTTCTAAAGGAAATGTCTAACCGTTTGACCGTCGTGTCAATAGTCCTCAACCCTCGTCCATCCTTCACCTTTTTTTCAAACCTTAAGACGTTGAGTCTCCGTACTCATGCTTAGGCGTCCCGCTGTGGAAAATTTTTCCCATTACCTTAGCTTTAGGATAAGGAGTCGCCGCACTCTATATAAGTGTCTCGCCGTAGAATATTTACTATCTTACCCTTTTCAATTCAACTTTTCAACGTAGAGATAGGAGTCGTCGTGCTCCACGTAAGCGCTTCCCTATGAATGTTTACATCCCTTTGAAATCTAAACCACAGTCAAGAAGTTCATCTTCCTCCCTTTCAAGGGGAACCACGATTACTCTGATTCCATCCCCTACCTCGAATACGTAGGCACAAGATGCGAATCTTGGCGAGTAAACTTAGGACTAATCCTTAGGTCTTTTTCTTAAACCTTTAACTCTTAGCATATCCCTTAAGCAGATAATTTTAGTAAAATAGCAACATTAAAACAAGAGGTTCCTATAGAGTACTACAGAAGTTTAGGATGTTAATACCTTCCCTAGGCTTAACCAACCCCTGAATCCTAGATCTTTCCCCGCATTATGTTTACGATGCAAAATAGATTTTTCCTTTCTTTAACCTTTCCTTCGGATAAATCAAATACCGGTTGTGAATCAAAGATTTGTAATTCAAATTAATTAATAATTTTTTGATATCCTATTCTCACCGCAACAGAAAATGTCGACTTCATTGGAGAAAATTTACTTTATCCTTTAAGGGTTATCCCTATCTTGTTGTATGCTTGCTTTTTTGCTTTATTATTTGTTTGTATATATTTAATGTACCTTGCTTGGGGTTGTATCATTGTTGTGAGATAAGTCTTACACACAGACTTGAGTGTAATTTTTATAGGAAGGTGATATATTCGACGAGGCTTATAGGGAGTTGAATCCCGACCAAGTTGACTTGAGAATCACCGCTCAGTTGAGGCCCTCTTGAAAATTAGTAATGTTGAACGAGTATTCGTGAAAACACTTACTATTTTCGACTAGGAATATGTGATATTGGGAGACCATAGTTACCTTAACACAACTTTGGCCTTATCTAGGACGTAGTGCGAGGACTATGAGGGAGTATTCCCGAAATAGTTGCTACACAATACTACACTCAAAAGAGGTTCTCTTGAGAATATTATTAACCATCGAGTCCGTTGGGAAATTGATAATATTCGAAAGATGGACTGATGACTTTGGGCACCTCTTTAGAACCCTTGTTCTGCAGGTACAACTAACTTATAGTACATACCTTTTGGGGATGGGTAGACCTTGACTTCGCTCATGTTCCTCTAACCTAGGACCTTTGTTTGCTTGTGTGCATTTATGCATTGCATCCATAAAGCATCATTGCATTAGATTTCATGGAATTCATTTTTACTTATGAACATTGCAGGATACCATGGATTATAATAGGAAAAATACTTTGAAATATTCTTTTAAGGGTCTTA